TTACTCTGTCTCTACCCATACTCTCTGTCTCTACCCATACTCTCTGTCTCTACCCATACTCTCTGTCTCTACCCATACTCTCTGTATGTACCCATACCTCTGTTTCTATACTTACTCTGTCTCTACCCATACTCTCTGTCTCTACCCATACTCTCTGTATGTACCCATACCTCTGTTTCTATACTTACTCTGTCTCTACCCATACTCTCTGTCTCTACCCATACTCTCTGTATGTACCCATACCTCTGTTTCTATACTTACTCTGTCTCTACCCATACTCTCTGTCTCTACCCATACTCTTTGTCTGTACCCATACCTTTGTTTCTACTCTTACCTCTGTCTGTACCCTTACATCTGTCTGTACCTATACCACAGTCTGTACCCTTACTTTTGTCTTATTGTCCACCGAAAAGCCGTTTTAATCGTGTGGTATTTTATTTCTACACACAGGGAGGAGATTGGAAGCATGTGCATATGCTTCAAATACGGACCAGTCCCACCTGATACGCAGAAACCGAGTGACGCTACGTGAGTCTTCTGCTACTGCTCCCAAGCAGACAAGTTCATTCCACTTATCAACCGCGTTCCACAATAAGACTGAAAACGCGCTGCTTTTAAATGTGAATTTGCATATACATCCTGGCTGATCCACTAATTGTGCATCCTTCTCTCTCGTGACTGGCTCCGTATGATTCAACTACTCGCACACGATTCTGATTCATTCTTACAACCATGGTATAAGTTATCTATAAGTTATCGAAACGTTCTATATAAGTTACTAATACGTTATGTATACGTCCAACTCGTTATGAATACGCTATGTATACGCCCAAAATTGAAAAAAACATCGATAGTTCAGCGTATGCCAGCGTTTTAGAGAAATTTTGATACGTCGGACATACGCTGGCTAAATCGTCCACGTGTGACAGGGCCATTACAACCATGCTGACACCGATCAGCACAATATGGTAATGGAAGCCATTTTCTAATTCTAGGAGCTAGTATGGTATGGCTCCTAGATGCACCACTGCACTAACAATACAGTCAAACTTGTATAATATACAATACCAAAATTAGAATACAATACAATACAAATGACCATATATCATATGGGTTAATCATCAAGGAAACTACCAAAAGACTTCTTTATGGACAGGTAGCCATTTTATAGAACTGGCACTAGCACGTGTATGTCTACGAAGTGATTGCTGGGAGTTCTTCATATAAGACTAACACTGCTGTATGTTTGCAGTAATGTTCCGGACTTGCCGTATTCGCTCAACCCTTCCGGCTACCTACAACAGAACACCTACCGCCCTGCGCCTCTGCCGCCGGTGGCTGAGGCAACCCAGGCTGGCTCGTCAGACGTCGGCCAGGCCTACCCAGTGCCAATCCACAGAGAGGACTATCCGATCAACAGGCAGGAATCGACTCTTGCGAGACAATACACGGGCACCATCGCGAAAACGCGTGAGTACCGCATGTCGCACGAGAGTACTGTGTCTGCGCCGGGGTGGCTACTCGGTGAAGCGTTGACAGGAGTGAGAAGTGTGGGATAGAGGTGGTGGGCAGTATGAGATAGAGGTGGTTTGGAGTGTGAGATAGAGGTGGTTTGGAGTATGAGATAGAGGTGGTTTGGAGTATGAGATAGAGGTGGTTTGGAGTGTGAGATAGAGGCGGTTGGAGTATGAGATAGAGGCGGTTTGCAGTGTTGGATAGAGGGAATAGTGTGGAACAAGGAAGGGGGCAGTATGGGACAGAGTACGTCATAAATGACCTTTATATTTGGGATGATCCTTGTAGCAAGTATTGCACTAACCAGAAATGGGTGCATTACACTGAGAATTCTTATAACTATAGGTTAATCCATTTATTTTTAGCACTGCAAGGGCTGCCATTCCAGATCAATCCTAGGCTACAGACAGATGCAAACCAAGTAAGTTGATTGAATAGTTTGTTTGCTAAAATGCTAAACTAACTTTGATCTGAAAAACTAAAAGGACGAATTTCTTCTCTATTACAACATACAATAAGTAATGTACCCAATAGAGGGCAGCACCATAACGTCATTGGTAACGGCATAAATATATCTAAGCTTCTATGTTCATCGTAATAGCTTTTACATGGGAAATGTTAATAAGTAGCATCAATATTAGATCACTTTTAGTATTAAGGTGTATCATGCCTGTTGTTAAAGTAGGTTTTCCTACTGGAATTTATCATTGGTCTTGTTTATACACGTGATGCCATATTGGTTACAACGTAAAATTGCTGTTTCAGTTCTGCGTACCTGATCTTGATTATATGTCGACAATTGACATTGACAGCAAGGTGAGAAGCCAAGTTTTCATTCTGTCTGAAAAGCTTTTCTGTTATTCTGATTTGACTACAATCTTGGAAACACAACACTGCAGCTATTGCTGTGATACAATTATAGGATGAAATACAAACTGCTATTTTGAAGAGAGTATAACTTTTCCGAGAGTATAAGGTGAACCTTTTCCAAGCTTTCGCAGTATTACTTCAAGTTAAATCCTTTGTCATAAGCTGTCTTCTGGTGTATTTATTTGCGTTTGCAGTTCTGTTATGATTTCCGGGTGGAGCGATCTGCAATCTAGCAAGGTATCCGTCACGCATGCAACCAAATGTTGACACAAGAGTGATGCGTGTCTCACACGTGTAACGTTGAGACGCCACGACATGCGTGTCAGCAGACTAATGTCGTGAAATAATGAGACTTGGCTTGCAAACACAGTCTAATGCTGAGAGGCAGTGAAATTAGTATTGCTGTTGTACCTAGTGCTGTAGGTGATACATAAAGAAGAGAGGGAGAGAGAGAGAGACAGAGAGAGAGAGAGAGAGAGAGAGAGAGAGAGAGAGAGAGAGAGAAAGA